TTTGTTTCTTATATGTCTGAAATCATTTCTGCTGCTGAAGGACCTTCAGTTGTATTTACACTTAAATGTTGCTTAAATACAAACTATATGTTTGCATGGACTGGACTGCAGCAATAATGTGGTTCTTCCACCAGAGCAGCGGTTTGGACCCCTTAAAATAAAGTTACAGTATGTCCACTTGAGAGTTTTTTCATTCCCAGATTATCATTTGGACTTTTTTTTGACTGCACCAGGAAACTCCAAATACTTTGCCACCTCCCACCATAGATAATATCATGGCAATATCTGTCCTGTGTCCCTCTCTTTACCATAACTCTCTCCGGTCTTTGAGGAACCTCTCCAAACGTCGTCATTCCTCACCTCCACCACCAGTTGTCCTCGTAGAGTTGCCAGTCACCTGAATCTGCACCTCAATAATAATTTGGATGTTATATATTGTTAGATTGTCGGTTTTGTGTCTGTTTACAATCACTTGTTTTTATTTTCTACTGCTGTCTGTCTCAACAAGAACTCAGTGTCTCACCCTGAAAATGTCCAACAGTGTAACGGCTTACTAGAGGAACTGGTTTGAAACCAGATGCACGACTCAGATACAGTAGATGATTTGAGTGCAGAAATGTGAATATACTGCAGGGCTGTTGGAGGGAGAGTGGGAACAGGTGTGCAAGAAGGCAGTGGAGGCTCAGGTGATGGGGAGGGGCAGGAACACAGGAGAGTTAGCAGTCAGTGTGTGTGGCAGATATAAACCAAAGAGGCCAGAACTGAGAAAATATATGACTTTACTTAAGAAGAAGTAACAATACCACGCTATAAAAATACCCTGTAACAAGTAAAAGTCCTGCACTGATGCAGAATTATCATTGGACCATCAGAAGTGTGATTTAATTGACTCATTTCCACTTCATGGGCTCAGATCGTTGGTTGCTTCGTGTCGTGCAAGGGACAATTCAGTGTTTTCACTCCGCTGTTTAGTATCATCTCAGCTCTCTTAGAACCTCGATGAAGGTGAAACCAAAAGATATACCGATATATACCAAATACCAGGTACTATACACAACTTGTGCCAATGGAAAAACAAAAAAGGTTCCAAGCCATTGTCGAGTTGAGTCGAGCTGAGCTGTACCGTGTAGTGAACATTTTAAATAAAAAGACTTGGACTTGAGCTTTTGACCTACTTGATACCTTTCCATCCTTTATGCCACTAATCCCTTAATTACCCGAATCAACAACTGACACACACACTAACAGTCCACACTTAACTTCTCAGATCTGCTTTTGCTTGTTTGAACCAATCCGACAGCTTCCGAATCAAGTTGCAGGAGAGAGACGTGAAGAACTAACGTTACTTTACTGAGCGCCAGTTTCCAGACTGAGGTGGCACAAGTGGGGCATCAAGTATGTGCCTCAGCTTTCCAGTCATTCCCAATTTATGCAATTCCAACACTGTTTATGGACCCCAGTATGCAGAAATATTCAAATACACAAGGCAAAGTAACTTTATATTTGTACCACATGCAAAAAACTGCATGGGATTAACATAAAGTGGGCATGTTTGAAAATGGGTACCTATTCATTCAGAGATCTTGAGGTCAGAGGGCAAGGGATCCTTTTTTCCATTGTCAAAGTTTAACCTAACTTTACTTCGCCTCCTTCCAGACCTGCTAGCTACCACATGGTTGGTACCAATGGGTGTGTTAGGTCATCTAGTTGTATATGGTACGCTGCAGAGCGGCAGAGGGAAGGATAATGGGGCTGGAAATCAGATTTTAGGGGAGGCCAGAGCCACCTCAGGCCCCTCTTCTGGACGCCAGATCGAAAAAATTACATAAAAGACAATTTTTAAAATAGTTTAAGACTCAAAACTCAAAGTTTGCGGTGCAAAGACTTACTTGTGACTTGGTCCCACCTTCTGTTGGATTATCACTCAGCTCATTGGTCAGTATCCACCATCAAACAAAGCTCTTACCACAACAATATATCCAATAAATCCAAACCTACACAGCCAAGTAGAGAAACTCCCTCACAGGGCACCCGTAGAGCTCTCAGATAGGAGCTCCTCTCTCAGTCCAGATTACCATGGCGATATCGTAATCCAGCCAAGATCAGCACAACAGAGTCCAGGCAACCAGTGGTATGTTACACCGAGGAGGGCCGGAGGGAGGTTGTCTGGAGAGAAACTGTTGAATGTAAACTGCACAGATTGATTGGTAACAGGGAGATTTTGCAGGAGGATAATCAATAACTTTATAGCTGATCATTAAAGGACCAGTGTGTAAGATTTAGAGGCATCTAACGGTGTAGTTGCAGTTTACAACATTACATAAACAGCTCATTTTAAGGTAATAAAAAATGAAATGTGCCTTAATTAATTCAGATTATCAGACAAAAATGTCAAATCTCATCAAATTCATCAAGTCAAAGCACTGAAACCTGCAAATGAAGAAAACGTCTTCACCGATTTGCTCAGCATTTATTAAAAAAAGTGAGAAAACATAAAAAAATACAGAAAAAACAAGCACATTAATTAGCTTATTAGCATAAAACACAAAATACAGCTGAAGCTGATGTGAATTTTAATATTTTTTTTACAAACAAACGTATTAAACAAACTTAAATTCAGACCTGATGGTGGATCAAAGCAATTAGAAATAATCCTCTGGAGAATATTGACACATTTTATGACAATTTCAATTAAAACAAAAAAGATTTTGAGCCATTTAGTCAATGTAGAGATATTTTACTCCATATTCTTTACATTTATCTGTTGGTATTATTAGTAGGAAAGTGAGGAGATCATGAAAGTTGTTTGGATTCATCCTCATTGGATCATGGCAAGATTCAGTGTATGTAGTGGAGAGTAACCATTAATCTGTCGACCATTTTCTTAATTAATCGATTTGTTTTTTTGGTCCATAAAAAGTCAGAAAATGGTGAAAAATATACATTATTTCCCATTAAAGCTCAGAGTTTCACAGAGGAGTAAAGAATCCAGAAAATACTCACATTTAAGAAGCTGAAATCAGTGAATTTGGATGTTTTTGTCTTCAAAAATGACTCAAAATAGTTGGCGATTAATGTAATAATTGACAGCTAATTGACTAATCACTGCAGCTCTACTGGACAGAGAAGAAATACAACAAATGTGGGAATAAAAGAGGCTTTTTTTGAGCTGGAATCTGCTTAAAACAAACAATCCAGTGTGCTGCGGTCCCTCCAGAGATACTCCACATGTGTGACTTTATATAGTTCAGTCTAATGCACCATGTTTGCTCATATACTAACTTCTCACCCAGTATTATCCAATAAACTGTTCACATACATAGACTGAGCAATAGAATCTGCCCTTTTAATCAAATAATCACCTTCATGCACACAAATCAGTTTATATAAATAAGTTTGTTTCTGCTTTTCAGAGTTTATATAAACCAGCTGTGAAGATAAACGTCCAGTTCAAACCTGTTGCAGCTGTTCCAGGTGGGTTAGAGGCTGATAAAAAAGGCTCAAGGACCACACAGAGATAAATGTTTCTGGTCAGACTGGATCCAACAGGTCACTTCTTTGTTTACATTTTACATAAGTTAACAAGATTCAGACACAAATAAATAGTACAAGGTGCAGCGTTGCGTCAGTCTTACTATTCATTTACTGTTGTTGTTGTTGTTGTTGTTGTTTTGATCTTGTATGTGTGTTTACAATATCAGTCCGCTCACAGTTCAGACTGATATATCTCTACAACTGTTGGACGTATTGACATAAAGTCTGCTACACATACTGAAGCTGCACAGAGGATGAATCCTACTGACTTTGGTGATCCTCTGACATTTCCTCTAGCGCCACCATGAGGTTGATTTATGTGGTTTTGAGTGAAATGTCTCAACAACTGCTAGATGGATTTTTTTTGGACATTTTGAAGAGACATTCATGCTCCCTTAACTTCTCAAATTAGATGAATCCAACTTTATTTCATGACAAAATACCAAATACCAAATAAATGTAATTCCCATCAACCTGAGCTGTATTTTGTGTTTAGTGCAAATGTTAGCATGCTAAAACACTAAACAAAGATGGTAAACATGTTAAACACATTATACCTGCTCAGGAAAATACTGTGCTTAAGTACCATTTTGAGGTACTGGTACTTTATTTGAGTATTTCTGTGTTATGCTACATTAAACTTTATATTCCACTACAATTCAGGAGGAAATGATGTAAGTTTGACTGTAGTTATGTTACAGAATAAGATTTTACATTACAAAAATATACAATTAAAGATTAAACCGGTGGTTTTAAAGCTTTTTTGACATGGGACCTCTTTTATAAAAGACTATACGGGTCTTGTCAAGTTTCAGATGTACATGAGTTGATATTAGTTCCATCAAAGAGACTAAACTTCTCAGATGATTTAATTTAAGATGTGAAATGATCTCATATTTTACAAAAAAAGCAGATAAAACAAGAGAAAAATCTGCAAAAAGAAATATAAATTTGCGTAGTAAAGTAACTTCCCTACCCCACTAATCATCTTAAGACCCCTCAGATTTATACTGTTACCCTTTGGAGGGGCCCTGACCCCTATGTTGGGGACTAAAACACACATATATAAAGTAAATACAACCTGCTCTACCTCGACCAACTACAAAAGTATGCATTAATGCATCAGTATTGATAAAATAATACAATATATTACATGATATATGACACAAGGGGTTTATTATCCTGCAGAATCAGTACTTTTTATACTTCAAGTGAAGTTTTTTTGATAATATATATGTACTTTTAGCCCTTTACATGGCTGTAGACCCTTTTAATTTGGGTTTTTATACTCAGAATAGATAATTATTAAAATATATATACTGAAACCATTCACCCACGTGTTCCAGGGGTTGTGTGACCTATATTTTGGCGTTATGGCACACAAAGCGTTAACTGAGTGTTGATCTGGGTAAAGTTTCGGTCCTCGACCTGTGGGCGTGCCAGCGCGCAACAGTCAGTGCAAAAGTGGGATATTTGTAACTACACACGGCAGTGCAGGGGTCCAGTGAGAGGGGGGCTGGTTGTGCTTTGAGCTGGTTGTGTGGTTAGGTTGTCGTTTTTAAATATCACCTCAGTCATGTCGCGGATATTGAACCTGATCAACACCCGGCTGCGGAGAGATTTGGCCGCGTGTCGAGGGACTGCTGGGCTCCCTTTGAGGACCATCTGCTGTACTTCAAGAAAACAAGCTCAAGAGAGGTGAGATAGTTCAGTCTGGCTCAGAAGCAACAGTAGTGTCAGCTTTAAACACACTTTCTGTCGTGCAAGCTGTTAGAGTGCGTTCAGTGCGTGTAATGCGCGTAAAGCTGCACAGCTGGTTGATTCTTGCAAGAAGAGTTTGTGCAGAATTACTTAAAGTCAGTGAAGTTTTATGGTGGTTCTGCATCATGTCACACATGGTCAAACATGGTGGCTTCAGTTTGTGTTCCCAGGTTGCATGTGTGAGAGTGTAAACACTCTCCTGAGGCTGCACTGTGAGGCTGTGACTTCCTCCTCTGACTCTTCCTCTCCTCCCTGCAGTGATGCATCCTCAGTTTTGGGAAAGAGGTGGAAGGACACAGCAGAAACCGTCATCATCGGTGGTGGATGCGTGGGGGTCAGCGTGGCCTATCACCTGGCCAAAGGTGGCATGAAGGATGTGGTGCTGCTGGAGAAGTCTGAGCTGACGGCTGGATCCACCTGGCACGCTGTACGTCTAACAAAGTCTACCTATTCTTTAATGGCAGAAGGACCCTGATGGTCTGAAGGTTCATGAATACAGTGAATGTGAAGGTGGACAAAGGTTGTAAAGACACAAGATCACATCTTTGCACCAACATATAGTCACATTCCTGCTTCTAACGACGTATTTTAACACCTTTACGCTTCAAAAGGGGAGAACCAGAGGGGCCGTTTGGGTGAAAGGGATTCAAATATATCAAATAAAAACTCTTTCTTCCTGTCAAGTTGGTTAAATATTACCTCTGGTTCTCATCCCTCACTTTCCATTTAGGTTGATTAATGAACATTTCTTTTTTTGGATTCATCATTTGAGCTTTAAAATGTCCCACCACTGTTTACTGCAACCCAAAGGTATGTCATCAAACTGTTCAAAACCCCAAATATATTCAGTTCATTATCACATACGGAATTATTTCCTTTTTATTAAACATTTTGTCCATAAAATATCAAAAAGTAACGTCTGAAATACCAGAAACCAAAATATATTCAAACATTTATGCAGCAAATCCTCACATTTTAGAAGCCGGAACTAGAATAGTTGACATATTTTGCTTTAAAAAATGACTTTAAATGAATTGTCTCAGCACATTTTTCACCTTTCCTTTAATCATCTTTGTTTGAAACATCACAAAGGCTGAATGTGGGTCAAGTTTCTTGACAAAAATAAACAGAAAATTGGACGTTTATTAATGCGAATTAAAATATTTGACCACTCAACCTCTAATGCTAACAGTTCTTCCTCGACAGCCTCATTTACTGGAGGTGTTTACGGGCATTTCTGTGCGTGTCCTTCAGTAGTAGCGTCGTATCCAGTGTGGGCAGCTGCTGGAAGGTTTCAAGGCATTTGAGGTCTTGACCCACATTCACTCTCAACCCCTTCACTGTAATGCTATTAATACATGTTTGACATGTCAGAGGGGGAACTTATTCAGTTACTGTCTTCATATGGAGGGGGTGGAGGTGGAGCCTATCCCAGCATGCATTGAGTGAGAGGCCGGGTACACACCTATAGGGAACTGAAACACCTGGAGGAAACCCACAGATAAGAGGGAGAGCACGCACACAGCCGTGCTCTCTGTACTATAGCACATACATTATTTAATTACAGCTGCTGTTATGTATTTTATTAGTTATAATCTGTTTAAAAGGGAAGAGGTTGTTATGAATTTGGTAGAAAATAACCTCATTTAGTCTCTCGTTCTCTGTGTTTTCTTATAGACTTTTGTAGAGTTTAGTTTGTTTATTGGGTTTTGTAAGAACATACAAGTGTGTTATCAGAGCATTTATAAAAAATAAAGAAGATTTATATTCCCTTCATGCAAAGACATAATAAAAAGTGACAGTTGACATATTGTTGAACACCAAAACAGCTTCCACAGACTGAGTAAACTAGAATAACACAACCATAAACAAACAAATAAAAACACCAAGAAACACTTAAGTCATATTTTCCCAAACGTATTGGACACGGTATTAAAGCTGGTAACAACGTAGCTGGCCACGCGTTGCCGGTCAGTGTACGGCCAATGGATTTTCTTTTTGAAATGAGAAAACCAAAACTACTACTCATAAATATAAGGAACAAAATTGGGTCTTTCTGTTTTTATTTTAAACACAAAAAAAGGTAAAACTGGTCGATCCCCGAGTTTAATTTTTCTTCTCTTGGACACAAAGTAAACTGATCTTAAAACTGAAACATATAAACTTAAAACTCACTTCCCAATCAACAAACCGACAAAGTTAGAGACTAGCTAGTGAACACGGTGAAGCATTTAGTAGCCAGATATTTGTCTGAGGAGTTGGAGGAGACCAAAAGGGAGCTTGAAGGAGAGTAAATATTGGATTTACGTTCATCAGCTGGACACAAACACGACTCCAAATGAACGATAATGTTGATCTGTGTCAACAACCTACAGTTTTCTGACACTTAACATAATATATGAGTGTGTGTGTGCGTGTCTGTTAACAATCTGTTAATGCATCATCCAACATGGTTAACTGTTTGTTTTGTATCTCCAGGCGGGTTTGACAACATATTACCATCCAGGCATCAACCTCAAGAAAGTCCATTATGACAGCATTAAGCTCTACGAGAGCCTGGAGGCTGAAACCGGACAGGTGAGGCGCCTCGCTCGTCTTTCGTAACTCCGATGTGCGTTTACACCGTCCCTCACGGTGTCTTTTTGCTCCGCAGGCGGTGGGATTTCATCAACCCGGCAGTGTTCGCATTGCTTCGACAGCGGCTCGCGTGGACGAGATGAGGTACCAGATGACCCGCACGCACTGGCACGTGACGCAGCAGTACTTCATCGGACCAGAGAAAGTCCACGAGCTTTTCCCTCTGCTCAATATAGACAAGGTCTGTACGGACAGATCACTGCTTGTTATGTGATATATGTGGACATCATCCTTCATCTTTGTGTGTCCAACATCTTCTGTATGAAGAACAATATGACTATCAAACTCTGCCTCAATAATTAAAGGAATAGTTTCGACAGTTTAGATGAGAGGATTGATACCACTCTGGTGTCCGTCTGTTGAATATGAAGCTTACAACGAAGGAGAAAACACTGAGGCCAAGAATTTCTATGATTTTTTCTTGTTTTATTTATTTTGCACAGTTTAAGAAATACATCAAATGACAAGAATAACAAATAATATACAGAGCAAGAAGGAGCAGAAAACCTTATTTAAAGCCTCCATCTAAAGTTAACATTACACAGTTATAGACAACAGTCCAATTTATACAACTCTGTAGCTTTCTCAGGACACTTCTCATATAGAGCAGGTCTTCATCATACTCCTTATAAAATGACATACAGAAAAAAATATGACTTAAAAAGAAATAACTACATTTACTTACTTATAGTTGTTTATGCTCATATCATGCTTGTATCACCCCGAGGCAAAAATATCAAAAATAATGGGCAGATTCTGATGACTCCTACAGTGAATATTCATGGTCCCCAGAAGATTATTCACTCTTACTGTAGTGAGCCTGTGTGCTTTAGTCTAGCACCACCACAAGGCCGAAATTATCGTTATGTGCACAATAATTGTCCAAATCTACTGGGAAGATTTCCTTGAAATTAACTAGCAACATTCAGCTATTCATGCTCCTCAGCGGAAGAACCTTTTCCATCATCCAGTTTTCCTCTTGCGTCACCCTGAAGCCAAAATGTCAACTTTTCACACATAAAACGTCTTCAAATCATCAAATAATAGGCAGGTTGTTATGAAATCTGCTGAGCACATTGATGCTCACAATTGTATAAACCCCCTAGAATAGGACATTTGTCATAAATAATGATGAATATTTGTCGTTATATGAAGGTTTCTCTGTATTTTCAGGTGTTGGCAGGTCTGTACACCCCCGGCGACGGCCACATTGACCCTTACTCTCTGACTATGGCTCTGGCTGCTGGTGCTCGTATGTACGGCGCCCAGATCTACAACCCGGCTCCGGTCAGCGCGCTCAACCCAACCGCTGATGGGAAGTGGGACGTCCAGACTCCTCATGGAACCATCCGCGCAAATCGCATTGTCAATGCAACAGGTTTGTACTTTCATATGTTCGCTCTCAAACCGGAGACAACGGGAAATGTCTCACGTCTTTCAGAAACGTGGAAAATTACGATTTTTCTGCTTGGGCTGTCAGTGAATACTCTAAAGTAGCTACACCATTATCACTAAAAGGAGGCAGAGGAATAGATAAACATCTGACACCAAGCAACAGACAGCAGGGAGAGAGGGAAGCCGAGACGAGAACAAGGGTTTTAAAGTTCAGTTTTTGCATCAATGTCTGCTTTAGTACAGTCAACAGAGGGCGCTGCACAATACACAGCAACCTGTAGAATATGACATGCCTACTTTGGTTTCCAAGAAAAACCTGCTATGTTTTTGGTTCCAACTGGAAACAAACTTTAATATATTTTTGGTCTAAATACTCCGAATGGCTCAAAACTTAGTGCTTGAACTGAAACAGTTGGCAGAAAAGGCCTAAAATGATTTAAAATATAGGATAGACCTTCCTTCCTGGTCATTTCTATAACAAAAACACACATAAGGCTTCGCTGAAATTAGATTTCTACTTGAATGTCCCTTCAGGTGTGATATTTTTAGTCATATATCCTGATAACACACATAAAAAAAGTGGAAAAATCTCGTGCTTAAAATGTAACTCAGGTCCACATAATTTCTGCTGATTAAGACACAATGCAGCAGACACATCGTAGTCACTGACCTATAAATTATGTTATCTGAGGACACTCTATAACAGGAGACCTTTGCCCACACAGACCACTGCTCAGTTCAGGGAAGTCAGCGTTAAGCTTGAACTGGGTCATACCAGTTCTGGGGGGATTTTGTTGGCTCCTCTCATCCCTGCTGCTGCTTGTTTATTTGTTAAGGTTCAGGAATTTGCTTTAGTCTGTTCTCTGTCTAGGAGATTGTGTAACATGTATCAATATATATAAGTCATGCATATTCTCCCTTAGTCACCTTTTCTCCGCAGTGACGTGGACGTGCTCTGACAGTCGCTGCAATAAGCATCGTTAAGACCTCGCAGGACAAACTTTCTCCAGCTCATTCACAATCTTTTTTCCTCTCTGAATTTGCACATTCTGTACTCTAGTTGAAACCAGTTATATTGTGGGCCTTGTTGGCCGTTTGCCTTCTCTGTGTCCGACAGCCAATCCAAACAGGCCAACAGTTCAGATCCCATCCAATCTTGAAGCAGCAGCACATGCACACCTCCTGACATACAGTTTTCTCTTCTTTTTTTATTTTTTGTAGCATTTTTTTGGTGCTGCTTTTTGCATCCAGGGAATGAAATGTTAAACTGATATATATCACACCTGCGTGACCGATTGCATGAATTATTATCCCACAGTCAGATGTACCATTATGGGTTCATGCAGGCTTTTTTTGCAGATACAACCACATACTTGCTCAGAGTCATGGTCCCCTTTCTTGTATGTTGGAGTTTGTTCTTTTGGTGATTTTAAAGATTAACAACAGATTCTGCTTCCTTGTGGGCTGCAGAAATAACTCAGCTGGTTTAAAGTCTCATCCCACAGAGAAAGGAAGAAAACAACTCCCAGGAAACAACAGCAACCTCAGTCTTTTTTTAATGCATTGTGCTCAAATTATTGTTTTAAACCCATTACCCTAAGTGGCTGTTTTGTTGAGCTTGCAAAACTTCCCAAACATTTTTAGTTAAACCTTCTCTCTGCTCGTTCTAGGTCTTTTTTTCTTTACATACTTTATCTCTCACAGGCTCTACTGCCGCCCACACAGAGCCTCGTCCACAACCTTAACCCCTTCTTTTGTCAAATTGACAATTTCTGTTCACTGTTTAAACTCAAGCTACAGCGCTGTACCCCCTCTTCTCGATTAACATGACCCACGAGAGCCTAAATGAAGGTCAGAGGTCATGTTCCCTGGAATGTCACCCTATAGGATCAGTTTCAACGTATCGGCCTTGTGACCCGAAGGAGGAAAGCAATGTTTTGACCAGTGTTTTTCAAACCTTCCGGCCTAGAAATGTTATGAATAATATGCTTTAGTGTTGTTCAACATTGTTAATTATATAAAAGTTTATAATATTTAATAATAATAGTAATATTTTCATGCAATGTAGGTCAGTTTGGTCAAGTCTGCATTCGTGCTACCACTTGGAATAGCTAACTTGTATGTTTCAACCATTTATCTATTACTTTTAGCTATTTATTTGAACTGTTCAACCATAAATTTATCCCTTTACACCTTTTTGAACAAATTTTAGCCTGATTATCAAACGTTTTATATTCATAAATAGAGAAACAAATAGAGTTTAACAGCGTGGATGGCTGATATCATAGCAGGAGTTGTTTCGAAGGTTGTTTTACTTCTGCGAGCTTGTTGACTCCATTCATCGCTATTCCTGGGTAACCCAGTGAATCGGCCCTGTGTGCAGGCATCTGGTAAACATGTTCCTCTGCAGCCCAGTTCCTGCCTAAACTGCCTGGGACCTTATCGTTTGGTATGCACCCCCCACCCCATCCCTCTGAGATAACGTTCACATAAAGAACATATGGAATATAAATGTGGGCTGCAGACTTGCATGCAATTGAACAGATTTACGCCACTCCATTAAATATAATGGATGTCAAGTTGGGGGGATTTATTTAGATTGTCTTTAACTCTTGCAACACGTAGCTGATGATAGCAGCAGAGATCAACAGGTCTCAGTGCTCCAGCTGGCGTCGCACTCCAGGTCACAGCAGCTGAGTTAGCACAAGGTCCACATTGATCTTTGTTAAGTGTCCCACTTACAGACAGAATATTTGTCGTGTGGCTTCTCACGGCTGTCATTAGCGTTCATCCACAGAAGCTCACTGTTTTTAGTAAACTGCCACTGTATTACATTACCTGCCCAGCACCAAACAGTTATTGTGCAGACGTAATTAGCGACTAGCTGAGTGGAGCATTTAGCTGCTAAAGAGTTGACGGAGACCAAAACAGAGAGTCAGTATTGACCTTACGTTCACCAGGTCACATCTTGAATGCTAATATTGCTCTGTATGTGCTCACATGTTCCATCTATATCAACTTTAAAGGTGATATCAGTGTTGTTTTTAGCTTCTGCAGCCCTCAACTGACTGAAAAATATATTAAAGTTTGATGCTTTTGTTGTAGAAGAGATCTAAATATGTATTCTTTACCAACTCAGCTGTAGTGGGGGGATGAAGGATCTCATATTGGGCCAACACTTCACGCTGTGAATGAATGCCGCCTCAGGGCTGCAGATCCATATTTCAGTCATCTGACTTACATTTCTGTCTCCTGTCGTTTGATCTTTGATGTATTTCCCTGAGCTTGCATGCTGCAGCAATATGAGAGGGGAACTCCAAGGAGCCACACAGTGAAATGTTGCTGTTGTTACATAATATTAGACTATAAAACCCCCTGAGGCCATCTGCTACTATGAAACAAAATAACATCCTCAGGTGTCTTTTGGAGAAAAAACTTTTTTATTCTATTTTATAAATTAAAACACAAGCTCTCTGGGGTCATTATAAAATGTTCTCCTCTTCAAATAGTTTTAATTTCTGTGTGGTTGACACTAAGTTGGTGCTGTGGTATTTTCTTGTTCACACTGATCCACATGTGTGTTTGTCTGTCTGGGCGCTGGGTGTCTATTTTTGTTGTTGCTTATGTTTGTGCTTATTTCTGAATGTTTGCATTTGAATCTCAACTAGTATGGTGCCCTGTCCTGTATATTTAAACCTTTATTAAAGAGTCAGTTCACCCAGTTCAGTCTCTGGAATTTCTGCTCTCACTCCAATGCAATGTAATTGTTAATTTAATCAAATGTCTGTTAGCTCTTTGTCTCAAAAGACAATGAAAGTAATTAAAAACCAGTTGGAAAACCCGATGGAAAGTCTGATAGGTAGCAGCTGTGGTGGCTCAGGTGGTACAGCAGTCCCCTCCATTAATTATTAGATTGACCACATTAACTGCATGTTGTTTAAAAGGAAACTTTCCTATCGAATGGTGAAAGAGGGGCGTCACACGGGGGCGTAACTTTTTACTTTACTTTTTACAAACAGATCCATTCATCAAACTTTGTGCGTCCACCAGGGGACATAAACCCTTTATTATAGGCCAGTAAAACACGGAGAACATACTGTACCAAAAGACTGGTACAGTAGAAGCAGGACAGCCTTATGGTATAGGAACAGTCATGATTGTATGAGCATCTAACATGACTGCGCCGGATGTGTTGTTACACAGAACCATCTGGGAAACTGTTTGGAAACAATCAAATCTTTTCCTTTGAGAAAAACCTTTTGGTGTCGTTCTTTGCTCTCCAGTTCTCATATAATTGATGGTAGCAGCACCTATGCTAACCTCTATAGCCTCCAGTACTTACTCAAAGGACGCTGATTAGTCCGGCAAGGTTATTTGGTACATTAAAATAAAAAGATGTAGTTACATTACTAGTAGCGTACACCTAGTTTTCAACCATTGGGAGCATTTCCAGTTCAAGAACCAGAGGTAATTTGTTGGGAAAACACTGTGAGATTGTCGACTTTATCTTGTTAGCTGATTTTTAAATACCATCTCTGTTGGTTTTTAAGGTTTCTGGGCTCGGGAGGTTGGCAAGATGATTGGGTTCGATCACCCCACCATCCCGGTGCATCACCAGTACGTAGTGACTGCGACGGTACCGGAGGTGAAGGCTCTGAAGAAGGAGCTGGCTGTCATCAGGGACCTGGAGGGCTCTTACTACCTGCGTCAGGAAAGAGACGGCCTTCTGTTTGGTCCGTATGAACAGATGGAGAAGATGAAGCTACAGGACTCCTGGGTCAGAGAGGGCGTGCCACCAGGTCTGTCTGCCATAGGATTAATTTCATTTTAACTATTATATCTTTGTCGGGTTTCACTCTCCTTGTAGGATACACATTATGTTTCTGTCCGTCTTTGTGTGGCTGCTGCAGGTTTCGGTAAAGAGCTGTTTGAGTCGGATCTCGACAGGATCATGGAGCATGTTGAGATGGCCATGGACATGGTCCCTGTGCTAAAGAAAGCTGACATCATCAACATTGTGTCTGGACCAATCACATACACCCCTGACCTCCTGCCCATGGTCGGACCACACCAAGGAGCTCGCAACTACTGGGCTGCCATCGGCTTTGGGTACGTGTGTATTTTCTACATTTGATCGGAGGGCAAGAGGGCTGATTTGTGACGTTTAAAGACTGGATTGTTTCCAGGTATGGAGTCATCCATGCTGGTGGTATCGGTAAGTTCCTGAGTGACTGGATCAGGAATGGAGAACCTCCATACGACCTGATTGAATGCGACCCCAACCGCTACGGGAAATGGGCAGACGTGCCCTTCATGTGTGCCAAAGCTCGGGAATCCTACGGCTTCAACAATGTGGGTAAGAAGAACACAAGACGATTGCAATCATTGGGCAAAACCATTTATTTTTTACCATCTCTAACCTCTTTGGTGTCTCTTCCGCACTCTGTCGGCTTCTCCAGTTGGTTATCCCAAGGAGGAGCGATTCGCCGGTCGACCGACCTCCCGGAGAGGTGGCCTTTACGAGCTGCTGAAGGACAAAGCGTCCATGGGCTTTCACGCTGGCTGGGAACAGCCTCACTGGTTCTACAAACCTGGAGATGACGTTGGATACAAGTAAGACATCTAGTTAGCAGAGCTAGTCTGAAATATTACATTTAGGGCCGAATTTAAGATATTCCTAGCCGACTAGTCGTTGCATGGTTTATGATATTAATTTTAATTATTTAAATGTATATATTTTAACAGCTGCCTCTTAAATGGTAATGGAAAAGCGGTGATGATTCTGATTCCAGCAAGGAGACTGAACCATTTAGTTAATTTATTAACACATCTGTAACATTACGGAATAAATAAGACAAATACTCGCAGACTTATCGATATGATGGATGATGTATAAAGTTTATTACAAATTAGTGGTTACAAACTGGCTGCTCTTCCTCTATTACATGCCTCTGCTTGAGGCCTCTGCCTCGCTGCTTGAACCCGTCGTGTCTTCATCCCCAGAGTCAGAGTCCTGGTCCTGAGTTGTTTTTGTTTTTCTGCGACTAAAACTCTTTACATCGACTGTCGGTTAAGTCGACTATTAGGGGACGGCCCTGAATACATTAACATACATTCTTTATAAATCTCTTGTAATGTTGTTTAAATGGCGAGAAGCTTACCATAACCGTCTCAGACCTAAACAATAGCAGTCCTTTTCGAGACGTAAACATATGTTTCCTCACTGTTGTTGAAGCTTTTGTTTCGTAACTGCTTTTTAATTTAATTGCTTACTGTTGTCGCGGTCCTCTAATTAGCCTCACCACATCCACTTTCCTGTTTTAAAGTATTCATGTACTGCATACCATTGCATAAAGAAAGACGCTCTGATAGTGTCTGGTGGAGATGCATGATTTGTCAGAATAAATATTTGCGGACACAATGTTCTTCAGTGAATATGGGAGGTATGCAGCAGAGCACAAACACATGTGATCCCTGACAGAAAAGTCCCTGCCAATCCTTTCATTTAGCGCAGAGACGAGCTCGCCACACATCACTTAACAGTTCGTCTAACTGTAAGCAGCAGCACAAGAGAGAGCGTTTAGAGACACTGAAAGAAACAGGACAGCTGCTAACGCTCAACAACACATGCAGATAACTTTCAATAACTGCACTGGACACAGTTTCACCATGTGCAGGATCTGGCTCAACTAAAATATGCACCATGACATTATTTAAAAACCACACTGTCATAGATTTCTTGAGATAATCCGGCGAGTGTTTGGAGGCTCGCCAAACGCCGCGAGTGTTGAGTCCAGTTGGCCTTCTCAGTAGCTGCATACTTGGCTTGTAGCTTGTGACACGGAGATTTCTCCTACTACAAATATAAAAGCCGCAGTCATAATCTTGCTGTGCAACTTTCTCTTGTTGTATTGTACTTATAGCCACATTAGATGATGCGAAGATGATGTATTTTTGTAGTCCGTCCCAGAATTTCTCCACTGGATTGTGGATGACTGCAGAAAAATAACAACAAAGGTTTATGATACTCATATGTTTTGTCCACAAATTAACACCACTTTTATGATTTTTAAAGTTTTAAATGTGATCACCAGAAGTAAAAAGATAACGTCAGGCTGTAAATGAACTACACCGTGGTCTTATAACGTCACCACTACTAAACTTCAAACTTGTAATTAAAATCTACAAGTTGTAATGTTAAAGTAAACACAACAAGGCTTTAAAGGCGGACTGGTGAGTAGTGAAGTCTCCTTGTTCTGCGTGATGACGTTTCACCGACAACCTCTGTAGTCTCATTTAACTACTTGTTAGCGACCGCCTGTTTTAAGACACGTAGAAGCTTCACAATTCACAGGTGGGCTATTTACTGATGTATTTTATATCGTAGAACAAATCTCTTAAGCTTGTTTCAAACACAGACCTTATTTTAGGCGTCTAATCAAAAAATACATTGACTTTGAGGCGAGGAAAGTGGAAGTTTGCACAGACGTTCAAGGGGACCAGAGGATGACATTTGTGGTTTTGAGTGAATTGTCAACAACTAGCTTATTAGATGGATTGCTGTGAAATTTGGTACAGACGTTCATATTCCTCTTCGAATTGCAAAAACTTTGGTTTTTATTCTTTAGTCTAACAAGAATTTGGTTATAATTCTGTCCTTCTGTTAGAACAATGTTCTGCAATGTTTTGTATTATGTAACAAAGCCAATAAAAAAAGGGGGCCAGTAAACAGTTGTGGAAGAAAAGTTGGTGTTCATTAAACCAGCAGAGGTAGGTATAAAGTGATCATTGATTCTGTGCTGTGCTCAGGCCCAGTTTCCGACGCACCAACTGGTTCGGACCAGTTGGCCGAGAGTGCAAGCTGGTGATGGAGAAGGTGGGAGTGATCGACCTGACGCCTTTTGGCAAGTTCATAGTGAAGGGGAAGGACTCCCAAAGGCTGCTGGACCGCCTGTTTGCGAACACCATGCCCAAGGTAGAACATATGTACACTTCATTAACATCACCGGGAGTTGTTCTGTCTGCTGTAGCTGCAAATGTGGTGTGAAAAGTTAATAGTCCATCATAGAAATCCAGTGTAGACTCATGCATTACAGTACTGTTAGTTTGAGTTTTAAAATAGTTCAGTACCTTCAATGTTTGTCTTAAACTCGTGGTTTTGACCTGTGTGTTTTCAGGTGGGTCTGACTAATATCAGCCACATGTTGACGCCCTCTGGGAGAGTCTTTGCTGAGGTCACCATCACCCAGCTGGCACCAGGAGAGTTCTTGCTCATCACAGGCTCGGGGTCAGAGGGTCACGACCTCAGGTGAAGAACTGTTTGCACACATGCTCGATCTCACTCAAGTTAATCAGACAGGCAGTAGCTAACTTAAACTAAAACTCACTAAAGTTAAAGTGCAACATCAAGGTAATTGATTGTAATATGCTGCTGCACTCGTAGTAATGAACCTACTGAGAATTATCACCTGAATCTGCAGATACCCTCCTCTTTACGCAGCTTTACGAGCCATTTTGGTTCACTGTCACCACTCTCATAGTGTCGCTTTCAGGTGTAACAGGCTGCTGTTTTCAGTGGAAAAAGCTCTTGAAAACCTGCTACCTGCTCATCCAAACAGCAAACAGACACAGTTAGAGACTAGCTGGTGAACACAGTGGAGCATTTAGCAGCAAAAAGAGACAGATGTTCACCTCAGGAGTTGATGGAGACCAGAAACAGAGCTAAACTCCCTAATTTCTGGATGTGTAAATAGGCATCTTAAAGGTGACAACTTGTTTCCATCAAGGAATCAGATATTTACTAACACAGTTGTTCATCTTTAGTACTGATGGTACAACTGGAAGTATTTCATGTCCATCCAAGCTGCAGAAGTGATCCAGCTGTCTTAAATATTCACTTCTGGTAGCAGGGGCGGCCAAAAATACGACTCAAGAATTGATGGAATTTACTTTCAGTGCATTAAAATGTCATTTTCAGACAGAATTTGTGAACAAAATTATGGGTCTTTTGTCGGTTGTGATGCTGAATGGCACAATTAACCAGGACCACATGCTGCACTACAGCTGCACAGTATGGTAAAAAAAAAAACACTAAAAAAAGAAATTTTCTAAATTTTCTTACATCTGGAGAGCAAGATTTGTGTCCCACAGCATCAGACCTTCTTTATTATTCTGTTTTCTCACACATTTTTTTGCCATTTTCGATTAATTGCGCAGCCCTAAACCGCACACACACATACAGAAGTAGACAACCATTTCAATATTAATTTTGCAGAGTACACGATGTGCACATAGAAGCTCTCCGTCACTCACACCCCGTCCAGAGTCGAGTCTCAAGCTGTGCAGAATAAAAATCTCTCACAGTCTGTTTTATACGGCAGAAACCTAAAACCTTTCAGCAGCTGTTAACATGCCGCCCCTCCATCTGCTCCAATCGGGACGCAGTACGTTAAAACATCCATCTCCGTTCCCCTCACTATAATAAAACTCTCCACCTGAGGGAGGCGAGGATGATGTCATGCAGCGCCCTCTAGTGGCGAGGGATCCTAACTGCACGTGAAGAGTTCACGGAGGTCACAGCAGGCCTGTTAAACCCAGAACACGTGGCTGAGATGTGGCAATGTGTGATAAAGAAATTAAAAGTCTGCTTCTTCCCTGCCCTCTCTGTGGTTGTGATCTCAGGTGGATCGAGTCAGAAGCTGCAGACGGCGGATACGACGTCGACATCAGCAACGTAACAGATGATATAGGCGTGCTGGGCATCGCGGGACCAAACTCTCGCAAGGTTCTTCAGAAACTGACGGATGAGGATTTGAGTGATGCTGGATTCAAATTCCTCCACTGCAAGTCCATCCAGCTGGCGGGAGTTCCCGTCCGGGCCATCAGGATCTCCTACACAGGTACTGCACGCTCTGTGAACTCACAGAGGTTCTTATTAAACAATATTCTACCAGTTGAAGAAAGCAAGTAAACTTTGTCTGCTGGGATATTCAGTAGCTAACACTTAATAAAAGATGTTACACTTGACTAAGAATAGGATAAAATGCACAGATATTCGCATTAATTTTGCACTGTTGGTTATTTCCTACTTAGATATTGGAGAAATAATCAGCACGGGAGCAAATTGCACCAACAAAAACCATATTTTTGTAGCTTTCTTTGTTCCCCTGACACAAATAGGAGAATAAATAACAACAAAAAACATCTATCCACTCATCTATCGGACAAATTGTTGTTTTAAAAATTGGTGCTTCCCTCAAGCACGCGTAGTATAGCAACATGATACAGTTTCCTTGGTCTTGTTTCGTTCAGCTGAAGGCAAATTTACTGAAATCTAGAAAGAAATGTGTATCTGAACAAACTTTGTGGTGATACTCTACGTGCACGTGTGTTTAGGTGAGCTCGGCTGGGAGTTGTACATCGACCAGAAGAACATGGCGGCTGTGTACAAGGCCATGATGGAAGCAGGAAAAGACGAAGGCATCGACAATTTCGGCACCTACGCGATGTCCTCGCTCAGACTGGAGAAGGGCTTCAGAGGCTGGGGAGCTGAGGTACACACACAGATGGAAATACCCTTATTTACTTTCTTGTAGAGAGTTAGATGAGATACCACCCTCATTTCTGTCAGATATAAGGCTGGCAGCCCGTCAGCTTAGCTTAACATAAAGGCTGGAAGCAGGTGGAAACAGAGAGCCTTGCCATCTCTCGACCCAATCTGTGCATTTTATTCATTAATATTTCTTTTGTTTCATCCATAAACCACTGTAGAACCACTTTATGTTCTTCTCACATGTCATGGCATGAAGTATGTGTCTCAGCTTTCCAGTTATTCACAATTTATGCGATTCCAACACGGTTTATCAACTCAGTATGCTGAAATATTTAGATACACTAGGAGTAAATAACACATTTATACCACATGCAAAAAAAGTGTCTGTTAAGGGGGGGACTTGTTGGTACACATAAAACCCATTTTCACAGGTTGTTCATTTGATTTAGTCCAATTTTGGAGCGTTATTTAGTTAGTTAGGCCATCTAGTTTTATACAATACCATTATCTTCACTCTAGCTTTAAAACGGAGCCTACTACAGCCTCTGAAATACAGTGTGGAGCAGTAGAAGTAAAGATAATGGGGTGGCAAGCTGTTTCCTCCTTTTCTTCCTCAGTCTTTGAGCTGAGCGGCTGCTGGCTGTAACTTCATACTTGCTGAGAAATGAGAGTGGTATCGACCTTCAGGTCTAACTTGGCAACAAAGGAAATAATGTTGAAGTGTTCCTGTAACTTTTTACTGACGAGATCAACTTGTCGATCTTCACAGATGAACTGTGACACCAATCCTCTGGAGGCTGGACTGGATTATTTCATCAAACTCAACAAAGTAACAAATATTTTTTAACATAAATTAACTATTTATATCCAGGTTTTTATTATTTATTCCCTCTTGAACGAGGAATAAGTTCTGTTCTCTTCTGTTTGTTCGACCAGCCGGCGGACTTTATCGGTAAAGCCGCCCTTCAGGAGATCAAAGCCAAAGGCCTGAAGAGGAAGCTTTCCTACATCACCCTGGACACGGACGATATCGACCCCGAAGGCAACGAGACCGTCTGGCACAACGGAAAGGTTAGCAGCAGCCTCGCTGAAGTTAAACCCAGTGATCCACTTTTAATGGGTTACTTTTGTGGTTGGTTTCACTCAACCGGTGTTTCTCTTCAGGTGGTCGGCAACACGACATCCGGAGCGTACAGCTACAGCAGCCAGCAGAGCCTCGCGTTCGCCTACCTGCCTCTGGAGCTGTGCTCTGTGGGCCAGAAGGTGGAGGTCGAACTGCTCGGGAGGAAATACCCCGCCGAGGTCATCCAGGAGCCTTTAGTCCTCACCGAGCCCACACGGACCCGGCTGCAGAAGAAAGCAAAGGGCAAAGCATAAGCACAGACTGTCTGCGATCAGCTTCTCACCAGCTAATGAAGAACGATTTTACTGTGATACATGAGTCTTATATTGGGAGGGAACTGTCCAAAAAGAAGTGGCCAGTTTAAGGAAAAAGACTCACATCACTTGACAACTTCCTCTTCCTGTATTGTGTCTTTTTAAGAGGAAGAAACAGATTCAGCATGTGAGAGTGTTTAGTGCTTCTTATGAATGGGGTTTTTTTTTTTTTTTTGAGCAACAGGGGAAAGTTACCTGTCGCTGTTCTTACACCACAACGTCTTACAGTGTCGGAAGAGTAATCGACTTTTTTGTAATTCCATGAATGGATGTTAATGTTTACGGGTCAACAGTTTGGGGGCGAAGATTTCAGCAGAAAGGGTCAAATGTAAAATGTCATAAGAGCACTTTGTGACGAATGTGACAAAGTGTATAAACACTAATAACCAAAACAAACTTGTACAAAGATAGTTTTATAAATCTGTTTTTACTAATATGTAATTAAACTGGTGTACATTAATACCGTGATAATTAAAGCAATGCGCTCACTGTCTTGTATTAGGTGTCTGTGTGTCTTTCTCTCTCGCTTTCACTCTCACAGATGATGATAAAATCCATGGAGCCCCAAAGTGTTCAAAACATAATAAAGAAAGAAGTTCTCACATTTAAATTGAATAAAATAAACAAGCCAGATATTAGATTTACAATACCTTTTTTTTTAAGTTCATATTATGGAAATCAAAGAATATGATGATATACTATATATAATATAAACATAAAAGGACAATAACAATATAGTAAAACTAATATATTGGCATAATTAATATAATTTAATGTAAAATAAAATAGTAAATATTCAAATTATGGATGCAACTGATTAATATTTTACTTATCGATTAATCTGTTTCTTGTTTTCTTGATTTAAATTGGTTAAACATATTGTTGTGTATGAAATAGTGCCCATTGCAACTTCCCAGAGGCTGAACGATCAATTTAAAGTGACATAAAAGCAGCAGCGGCTGTAAAAGCAAAGTTTATTTATTATATTATATTCATCATTGTGGGATTTAGAAAAGGTTTAACTTTGAATTGGTTGGTTGGTTAGATAAAGAAATACAGATGAAACCGATTTTTTAAAATTGTATATCACTTAAGTTGAATGACACTCAAACTTTTGGCATTTCTCATATTTATTTATATTTATATTTATATTTATACAACTAATTTCTTGTTCTTATTATATATTTATTTTAAGTTATTATCCATTTTTTGCTTCTTACTTAAAAAAAAAAAGCATATTTCTGTATAGATTTCCTTTTTAAATATTATTCTAAATTTTCTTATTATTTTAATATATTAAATTATATTAAATTTGCGTGAGTTCTTGTTATGTAAAAAATAAATAATAATAATAAAAAAAATCTACTTCCCCACATTCACGTGATTGGCTGTTTTTCCAGTGATCTGATTGGCTACTACAGCTACGGCAGCGTTTTCAACTTTCAGACCCCGGAACTAACAGCTAGAGGCGGTTCCAACTTCTAATAACAACTTAGTGATTGTTTGTTTTGGTATTATTACAATAAAGACACGTCGCTAGAGAGTACCGAGTAACCAAGCCTACATACCCGCCATGTTAGCTCCTCTTCTTCCACCGTTAAACTCCACCTGACGGACCTTCCGTGTTCACTCTCCTCCACAACACGATGTCGGTGTGTCCGCTGCTCCTCGCCGCGCTCCTCGTCAGTTTCCCGGCGGCTTTATTAGCTCGGCAGCCTCACATAGTCTTCATCCTGGCAGACGACTTCGGCTGGTATGACATCGGCTACCACCGCTCCGAGATCCGGACCCCTCACCTGGACGAGCTGTCCGCCGGAGGAGTCCGCCTGGAGAACTACTATGTGCAGCCTCTGTGCACCCCGTCCAGGAACCAGCTCATGACGGGCAGGTACCAGGTGAGACCCGCATCCTGGTAAACGTTTAATGCTTTATTTACTTGTGCTTCAACTCCACTGGAGGTAAATGTTGTCCACTACAAATTATGATGCGTTAATCTCTATAAAAAGCTGTTTATTTACTGTTTTTATACTTTTTTTAATTCTATCTTGTGTTTTTTTTTATTTATTTAATGTGTATTTTTTATTATCTGCTGTGTTGTATCTGAAGCTCAATCAGTAAAGTCTATCTTAAAGTATAAAAAGTAAAATAGCAGTAATTATTGTGTTTTAATTGTGTAGTCAGGGGTTTATTTAAGTAAAACAAGTTACAAAGTCCTGCAATCAAACCAATAAGTAAATGTACATAAGTACTGGCAGCAAAATATACTTGAACAGTAGATATCACTAAATATAATGTATATTATATTATGTAAGCATCACTGTTAAAGGTGGAGCTGCTTTATTTACTTCTGGGTATCTTAATCCATAATAATACGTCATCATTTATTATATTATTTTATATATTATTTGTATATATTGTTGGGAGAAAATGAGCTGTTTTATTCATTTACTTTAAATGTGAAGCTAATTTGGCTGCAACTAATGATTATTTTCACATTAATTCATCTGTCAGTCATTTTTTTGATTAGTTGTTGTTGATAAAATGTCAGAAAACGGTGAAAAATGCTCCAAGGTGACGTCCTTAAATGTCTTATTTTGTTCACAACCTGAAGATATTCAGTTCACTGTCAGAGAAGACAAAATAAACCAAAAAATATTCATATTTGAGAAGCTAAAAATGACTCAAAATGATAATTGATTATCCAATCAGTTGACTATGTGAGCATAAAGAGCTTCATGCTTAAAGAGCGTCCACTGTATCATGATGACACGTAAACTCCGGAGCATGACTTTTGGGGTTTGTACACTTTTCCGAGTTTAGAAAAACTTTCCAGGGAAAGAAAATCTAATTTGGACGCTGGCGGAAAGTAGACGTTTATTTTGAAACTTCTGGTTGAAACATCACTGTCCCCACAGAGGTTTCTGTTTCCCCTTTTTTTGTGTGTAATTTTCAACACAATGTGTGTTTATTTCCTCATGATATGTGTTTGTTTTGTCCTCCTCAGATCCACACAGGCATGCAGCACCAGATCATCTGGCCCTGTCAGCCCTACTGTGTGCCTCTGGATGAGAAAATGCTGCCTCAGCTGATGAAGGAGGCCGGCTACGCCACGCACATGGTGGGCAAGTGGCACCTGGGGATGTACAAGAAGGACTGCCTGCCCACACGCCGAGGCTTTGACACGTACTTTGGTATGTTTCATTAAGAATAAATGTAACTTTGCTGCTGTATTCGAGGATTTCCTGTCTTCTGACTCTGCGTACGGTTTGCTCCAGGCTACCTGACAGGCAGCGAGGACTATTTCACTCATGTCCGCTGCGCTCCCATCGCTGCTCTGAACCTGACTCGCTGTGCGTTGGACCTGCGGGACGGAGAGGAGGTTGCCACCGCGTACAAAGGAGTCTATTCCACTGAGCTGCTCAGCCAGAGGGCCACCAGCATCATTAGAAAACACAACTCTAACGAGGTGAGGAGAAAGACCTGGTTCTCTTTTTGTATTTTTTATATTATTTGGGGCTAAAGAGATATAATACAGCAATGCACCATCAGTTACACAGGATACAAAACATATAGAGCAGTGCAATTTAAAGGAAATATAGAGGTGTGAATACTTTTCAATGGAAAAACACTTAAATGCTACATTTCAAATGTTCAGAATCCATCACTAAATTAATCAATTATCATCATTTAGTGAGAAACTTGTGCTGACACCAACAGTGGTTGATAAAGAGGAGTTATTTCTCCTTCCTGTGAGACTTTCTTTATCTGTGTCTCATTTAAATACCACACACTAATATACAGTATGTACTAACTACTCTTAAAGTGAGACTATGCAACTTCTTAAAGCAGCTATGATCAATAAATGAGTCTGTCCTGCCGTAGTGCGACATCTAGTGGTTGCTGTAGTTGTCCTATGTGAGTCTTTATCTTTCAGCCTCTCTTCCTCTACGCGGCGTTGCAAGCAGTTCACGCACCGCTGCAGGTGCCCGAGCGCTACGTGGCCCCCTACAGTTTCATCAAAGACCCCGAGCGCAGGCTGTACGCGGGCATGGTGTCGGCCATGGACGAGGCAGTGGGCAACATCACTCTGGCTTTGCAGCAGGAAGGACTCTGGGACAACACGATCCTGGTGTTCTCCACTGGTATGTTTTTGTACTGAGAGGCTGGATGAACTTGATGTTGGCGCTAGAGGAACAGACAGAGGATGACTAAAATCATTAAGATTCACCCTCTAGGGAAGATGAATGTCATGGCAACAACAGACAGTCACGAGTTAAAGGTTTGAACTTAATTAAGGATGAAGATATTATGTCTGACTGAGCGTACAGTGATGTAGTTACAGCTCATTAGATTAGCATTAAAGCACTTAGATGATGCAGTAATAGTGACGAATAATGAACACTTTATCTCCTGTAGAGTCTTGTGGAAAAGTTTTAAAGATGTAAGCAAATGCTGCTCATTGTTTAAGCACTTTACTTTATTAAAGTTAACTTCTACAATTTCATTGGAAACCTACAATGAAAGAGTGAAGTTTTTAATACATAGATAGGATAATAAGGTGAACCGCTCTGGGAATGTTGATATATTTTCCACGGCTTCTATTTATTTTTTTTCCCCATCTGAGTCTTTCATTGTGTGCCAGAGTGGAAACCAAATCAGAGAGCGCTAAGTAAAGAGCAATTACATTTTATGTGCACAGACTCAAAACCACGTTTTCTGTCAGCATCAAAGCCGGTTTTCCCGGAGTCGAGAGGAGTTCAGGTGACAGCCTGGTGACGGGTTTATTGAGTTAAAGCATCAGAGAGTTGGATAACATATTTTATTACATGACATGGTCAAGAGGGAAGGCACGTGAAACAGATAACCGTTGGCCTGTTTCTCAGTAAGGATCCTCAGTCATTCTTAATGGGGTCAAAACGGTGATATAAGTTTGGCATTGAAAATAAATGAAAGTTGGCATTGAAAACAAATCCTGAACATTGGCATTGAAACCCATTGATTTTTCCCTCAGTGAACTGCCAATACAACTGTTTTCTGTGTTTGTCTTTTTCAGTTGAGCATTTGTTTTCGATGCCAAAATTATAATGTCACTGTTTCAGGCCCATGAAAGAGAGAGTGACTGAAGATCCTAACTGAGAAACATCAAACATGCAAAAGATATCTGTATTGGAAAAAGCATAAACAATTACAATTGATTTTATAAGCGTTTCAATGCAAAATTTTATTTTCAATGCTAAAATTATAATGTTGCTGTTTCAGGCCCATAGAGAATAATTTTGAAACACCAAACGTGTATGAAAAAGGTTGCATTGGCCCTGTACTGAAAAAACCTGACAACAATTACAGGTGTTTCAATGCCAATGTTTTGCTTCTTAATTTCAGGATTTGTTTTCAATGCCAAAATGATAATGTTGCTGTTTTAGGCCCATAGAGAATAGCTGGAGATCCTCTGGGATCACCAAACATGCAACATATCTGTATTGAAAAAAATCGTAAAAAATTACAAGTGTTTCAATGTTTAACTTTTTCAGTCCAGGATTTGTTTTCAATGGCAAATTTTATTTTCAATGGAAAAATTAGAATGTCACTGTTTTAGGCCCATAGAGAATGATTGAGAAACACCAAACATGTAAGGATATCAGTGTTGAAAGAAGTTGTATTGGCACTGTGCAGAAAGAAAAACCTCTGAAATGTTTCAATGCCAACTTTTATTTTCAATGCCAAAATCATAATTCTAGCACCATAATTCTCCACCAATCCTGGTCTGGTTACACTGAAAATAGCTTTTGTACTATACTCTATACTCTGGATGCCCACTAGAGAGCAGTGTTATATTGTATTTGTTCTAATGGGGATTTTGTATGTAGTTAGGCTCATTGGGAAGCAGGATGTGGAGATTTACAGAGAGAAATCACTCTCTCACTCTTTTAGTTGGCTCATCTCCTCATATATACGCCCCTGAACCTCTTAAATAACCCGTCATATAGACTTTCTGATGAAGAGCCAGGTATGCAAGCGTCATCTAAACATGTGCTTGCTTCTTGGGTTTCCACATGTGGAACTTGTAATGAATTGCATCTGAAGTAGGTAACTCCTTTTGAGGGTTATTTTTAGTGGAGAAGGGGGGGGGGGGTGTTTTTAAAAGGTAATTAGAAGACAGGAACAATGCTGTGAAAGTAAAGTGCGAGGTTTTTCTTATGCCCGTGGTGGAGGCTGCGGTAGGTGGCCTGTTTCATTGTTCTTCCACACATTTGGCTCTAACTAACTCGAAAGGACTCAGCCAGCCATATGCCGGGCAGACTCTGCTGATGAAGCTGAAGGGGGAAAAATACTCCTGAATACTTCCTGCTTCTGTGTCAACGTGATGAGCACCGGTTATGTAATATCGGACTTTGCCTCCCTGTGATGTAGCTTATAAATGCACACATCCCTTACCGGATATCAATAAGGCCTGTCGGTGGCTTTATTAGTCCAGCTTACAGTTTAACATTTACTCGGGTTAAAGCTGTTACTGTTGACCCACATGTGTCAGACTCAACAGGAAATAAACGAGGGCCTAACCTTGAAATTCCTTTATGATGAAATTTTCTGCGAAACCGACTTTACAGTAAGCAAATGAGCGAGAGAGAGAGAGAGCTTTTAGGTGAAAGCTGGGAAAGGGAGAGCTGGCCCGGTGGAGAGCCAGAGCAGCTTGAAAAGGCATTAAGGGAGCAGACGGTCTTTTCCAGAACTGTTCGGGAATCGGGGCAGACTACTTCCTGGACTTGCATGACACTCTGCTGCTGAAAGGGGAGCCCTGCCTGGATGTGATTGGACAAGTGTGTTTATACTGGACTGGACTTATTGGGATGATGACAGCCGGTCTAACTGCCTGTGTGTGTGTGTGTGTGTGTGTGTGTGTGTGTGTGTGTGTGTGTGTGTGTGTGTGTGCAGTGCACTTGTGTAATGGTTGGATATTGTGCAGGAGTTTTTGTCTAACAAGGGAAACAAATGGACCGACAGTGCCGTGTTGTTTTAATGTCTTAGATCACTTGTTTTTAGCCACACTCGTGTTATGACTCAATGGGAGGCAGTGTTTGTCGTTCCACCACATTGTTCCAGACTGAAATACCTCCACATTTACTGGATGGATCGCAATGACGTTTGGTAGAGACGTTCATTTTCCCAAGAGGATGAATCCTAATGAGCTTGGTGATCGCCTGACCTTTCCCTGTAGCGCCACCAGCTGGTCACTTATCTAGATCTATCAGATGGTTAAGCATAAATTCTGTACAGGATTTTGTACATGGTTCCCAGCAGATGAAACTTAATGACTTTCTTTTGCCTCTAGCGTCACCATGAGGTCCACACTTGTAGTTTTGTGTTAAATGTCTCAACAACTATTAGATGGATTGATATTAAAAGTAATGCACATTTATATCCTCCTCAGGATGAATTGTAATAACAAAAAACTGGTCAAAATCATTCTATATATATATAGTATAACTTTGGTTTACTTTTGGTTTATATTCCTTCAAAACTGACATATGACATATTTCCCATCCCATCTCCATTTAGTGAGCCACACACACACACACACACACACACACACACACACACACACAAGTAAACTGCTTTGATGCATGCGCCAGGCGAGCATTCTCCTTAAATTGAATTGGATCTTATTATTTATCTATGGCACAACCTCACAGATCATGTTTGTAGACCCCTATATGAGCTCAGCACTCGGTTGGATATCGTTCTCTTCCCGAACCTTAAAGGAAAATTTATTTTTTTACCACGGGTTGCATCTTTGAAGGTGTTTTCATGATCATACAGATGTCTACTTTCTGTCTTGAAAGATAAAATGTTTGTCCAGGGCCATAAACTTAATGTTTAAAACAATATTTCCAAACTCTACACCCTTCAGTCTGTGGAAATTGCATTTGCATTTAATTCAGTACACTGACTCTTTATGCCTTTTATGTATTCACTGATTTAAATTCCCTTTGTCTTTCTTCTCCTCGTGTGATTACATTTTGTCCCTGCGGTTGTTTGACAGATAACGGAGGTCAAACACTGTGCGGTGGCAGCAACTGGCCACTGCGAGGGAGGAAGTGGTCACTGTGGGAAGGAGGGATCCGGGGAGTCGGATTTGTCGCCAGCCCGCTTCTAAAGCAACCCGGAACCATCAGCCACGAGCTCATCCACATCTCCGATTGGCTGCCAACACTCGTTGGCCTGGCGGGAGGGAGCACCAACGGCACAAAGCCACTGGACGGATTCAACGTGTGGAACACAATCAGGTGAGCCGGGCCGTTGTACAGGTCTCACACATCTGGGACTTGAACTCCCAGCTGAGAATGTCTCCTGGGTGGCAGGTCAGCAGCCTGCGGCCTGAGTTTACAGCGTGAGCAATACCAGCTCTTGAGTTTTGACAGGCTGCCCTCTCTTTGTGCCTCTTTCCGATCCTTCCTCCCCCCCACCCCCCCATGTGCTCTCGCTCCAACTCCCTCTGCCTGTCTCCCTGACCCAGCGTCTTTTTCTTGTCGGAGCCCCTGCTCCTTCAATAAGCTCTTTGTTACTGTGGCAATGGGAGCTCAAAGAGAAGGAAATTCCATCAGTCATTCTCACACAAATCTTTAGTCCTTCCATCCCTTTCTTTCTTTTCTCTTATCCTCTCTCCATCCCCACCTTTGCCTGTTAAGACCTCCGAAGGCCTGCTATTGGATAAGCTAATTAGTTTAGCTACAAATCCTTTTTATGTGGCAACATACCTGAGACGTTTTAATTCTTTTATATGTAACATATTGAATCAGTTTAACTTTTATGTTCTAGAGAACTTTTGCAAAGAGTGATTTAATAAGTCGCAGGCAACTGCTGTCAGACCACAGATGAACTTTCCATGTTGGTTTGTGTGCAGGTCATCACACAAGCTGTCACTGAGTCCTGTTTGACTGACACATTGTATTTGTAAACTAAATGTGGACACAGTGAAGAAGGTGAAATTGAGGGCTGCAGCAGAGCCCCAGCAGAAAATCAAGGCTTAGCCTGGACCACAAACTACTACTCACAGCCTCCACTTGACTCGATTGGCTGACGCACATCAGCTGACCGCCAGGCTGCTGGCGTTGCCGTGTGAGCTGCACAACAACGCAGAGCGCAAACTGCTGTTTTGTTTTCGCTGCTTTACAGTTTCATTTAGGTTTTTAATTGGCGCTTCTGTTACAGACAAACAGCAGTCTCACAGCTCGGGAAATTATAAACCAAATGAAGGCCCCGGAACAGTAGGCAGGCAGAAGAGAGCGAGAGTTATTTTAGTTGTGTTATCAGACACTGTGGTCAGTGAGAGCAGTGTGTTTTCTCTGTGGTGGAGTGCGGTCAGAGCGTATGACTGCCTGGTGAACAACGGCCAGCTGGTTTAGATTTACAGATCCCAGAGGATTTTACAGTGCATGAGTCAGACATCGTGCTGTGTGTGTGTGTGTTGGTTGTGTATCCATATGTTAAAGAGTTACACTGCCTTTTTTATCTTACAGCAAAGGGTTTGCCTCACCCAGACTGGAGCTGCTGCACAACATTGACCCTCGGTATATCGACATCGCTCCGTGTAAGTTCACATGCATACATCCAATGAACACAGACGAGGCTTTTTCCAGTCTTGTCTCTACTGTCATCAGAGCACATAAGATTAAGGCCTAATACCTCCAGCAGGGTTTCATCTGTGGATTTGTTGAAGTCAAGTTCCCACACTGTGTTAAGCTGTGTATGTGCAGTGTGTGTACGTATGTATCCAAACCAGACCTGGTAAAAAGTGATTGGCAGGGAGGGGGGGGAGAGAGGGGATGATGTGCAGTGAAGGGCTCAAGCTGCTGAGGTAAGGACTCAGCTTTGATGGTGATACGCACTCTACCAGGTGAGCTAACTGAATTTATACATGACAAACACTGACTGACATACGCTGCAGAGATTCACTGCGAAAAATATTCATAGCACAATTTGATTATTTAACTTCCTCATGTATATCTGGAAACTTAGATTGCATTCGGTTTATTTTATACCAGTGGAGCCGCATGTTTTTGTGCTTGAGTGTTTTTTTGAGAAACTTCCTGAAGCAAATGGAATTGCACCTGAAATGAGGAAAGTATTCCCAGAAAACTCAGATTTTAAAGTTAATATTAGATTATGAAACATTTTTCAATATACAGTAAATGTGGAATGCTGAATGAAATACACAGACTATCTGTCATCCGTAAACTCAAAGGACTTTATGTTTCCCCCCCATCCTGTATGAAAGCATCATCCAGCCCATCCTCATATACTGCTCCTCCTGTTTCTACAACATGCTAACTGTCACCAACCGGACAGAATTCACACACATCACCAACACAGTGGCCAAGATAATCGGACTCCCCCCACACCCAATCTCACAGAACTAAACAACAGGGCCATAGAACTGGACATTACACACCCACTCAATCAATATCTCACCCCACTGCCTTCTGGGCGGAGGTACCGAACTCTGATGTGCAAGAAAGCTCGCTATGGAAAAAGCCTGATCCCTGCAGCTATTGCTGCTCTAAACAAAGGAGCACGCTGAGTGTGTAACCTGTCATGTATTATTTATTTATTTGATTGTTTGTTTTTCTTTGTGGATTTGTTAATTGCGGATACCGTGTTTCTTTGTTGAGTGTATGGTGTTGCTTGCAGGTGCAGTGATGTGGACATGAATTTCCCCCTTGGAGGACAATAGATTGAATTGATTGATTGATTGGGATGTTCCCATGGTTCCCAGAGGAGTCCCGCTGACTTTGCCTCTCATGCCACCATGAGGTTGAGACACTATGTGGTTTAAAGTGAAATATCTCAACAACTATTGGATAGATTGTCATGAAAATGTGTACCGACGATCGTGTTTCCCTCAGAATTTTCCATATAGTGATTGGTCAACTATACCGAGGTGAGAAAGAAGCCGTGGTTTGAACTTGTTGACGTGTTGTCAGATCATGTGTTGAGAGTGAAAAGAGAGAGGGCAGACACAGTATTGTTTAAATACAGGGATAACGGCGCACATTTTATTTTCATTGTCGTTCCAAGTTGAAAGGGACAAAAATAGTTGTGTCAGGAATGAACAAAGAGCTGTAGAGAGAGAAGTTTGGAGTCGTACCAATCACAGCATGAAGGGTGAGTGAATGTTAGATTACAGGAAGGGAGTTTTTAAGCTAGTATTCGACCGTCTTACAAGCCCTTCTGGATACCATCACGAGTTAACCTAACCTGCATGTCTTCGAACTGTGGGAGCCAACCAGTACATGCACACTGTTAGCCACTTTAAACCATTTCAGCCATTATTCACGTGCCAACAACTTGATAAAGCACGTCGAGGTGATGGAAACCTGATGTAGCCTCTCCTCCTCTCTGTGTGTGTGATGTCTATCGTGTGTGTGTGTGTGTGTGTGTGTGTGTGTGTGTGTGTGTGTGTGTGTGTGTGTGTGTGTGTGTGTGTGTGTGTGTGTGTGTGTGTGTGTGTGTGTGTGTGTGTGTGTGTGTGTGTGTGTGTGTGTGTGTGTGTGTGTGTGTGTTTCTTTTTGTTTCTAATGTTGTAATTCTACTACTTTCTTCCCAACATGGCCACAAGTATCAAGGGCTCATTGTTTGAGTCGGTATTCATCACAAATACCAGACATCGTGAATCAAATTAACTCAAGTCAAAGCAGACTGGGGCCTAAGAATAGCGCGTTACGTAACATCTCACTAAACTCACATTAGCGTCTTAGAAAAGCCACGTTGTGTGTTTATTATGAGAGTTTGAACATTTGTTTGAGTGGATTACAGTTATGAGGAATCTGGCTGGAGGTGAGTTGATTTTAAATGTGTGTTACTTTTAATGTCATGATTTATTATTTTAATTACAATTATAACTTCTTCCACTTAAAGGTTATCTGAATCATTTAAGAACATATTCCTTTAATTTGCTTTATTTTTTCTCACATTTTAGCCACATTTCCTGATTGCCGTCCCTCATAAAGTGTTTGTTATTCTGTTTACATGTGAGGAAATGCTGATAGCACAAGGTTGAAATTCTAATCAGTCCTCTTTTGAATCTGTAATCAGTCAACAGTGTTGTAATCTGAGATAGTTGACGTTGGAGGGCAGGGTGTGTGTGTGTGTGTGCTTACAGTTTAAACTCTGTGATTGTAGGGAGGTTTCCAGGAAATAGGTCTTGTGACTGTCTGTTATTTTATACTGCTGTCAGACACAGTTGAGTGGGCTCATTCTTGTTTAAACCACTTTAATATTAGGTGGTCCTGGTCCCGGTCTGAGGCCACTGTTTCTGACATTGTGGAGGGTGCTGCACCTAAGTTACACGTTTAAAAATAGTAGAGGTATAGGAGGAGTGCATTTTTGGGCTGAAATGTTTCACAGATGTAGCATAATGGGCACATAATGGGTCGTCAGAATAGATGAGTTCCCTTTGATCCGCCGTAGAGGTATAACGTTCATCTCCTGGAGGTACAGTGGTTTTCCTCTCTGTGGTAAGTATCCTGGAACAGCGGTTTTCAAACTGGGGACCTTGAGTAGGGCTGTAGGGACAAAAGGAGGATGGGGAAAGATTGAGCACATTTTCTCCACATATACTTTAACTTTTAAAAGCACAGATGGTAGGTAGTGTAGCGTCCTCACAGTGGCATGCTTATCCTACATCAGAAGGGTCAATTCTGCAGTTTCAAGCTTCATTAATTGATTTATTTTGGCCACACAGGTGCAGCAGAACAAACACTACATGCACAACACTTGCATATTATCTCCTTATGAAGTTCATACGGCGGTCATGTTAGCCAAACAGTTGCCTATTTACACATCTAGTATTCATTTGGACTCCTTCTCATCGCCCAGAGAATATAAGTCCAATATTTACCGTCGTTTTAGCTCTGTTTTGGTCTCCACCACATTTTGAGAAACATGGTTTATGAGAGCAGTGAGACCAGAAAATGTAATTGTGGGCCATAAAAACAAGACAATTAGCTCAAAGACGCTAAAACACTGAGGCATCACAAGATTACGCGGGAATGCCTCTTGCATACGGGCATGGTTTAACACTAAGTGTGTGTGACGCGGCTGCTAAATAGGTTGGCGTAGCAGCTGTTCATCAGTTATATCAGAATCAAAGAGTGTTTCTTTGTTGAAAGAAGATCAAAGAACAGCGCTGAAGGCTTTTCACTCTTCTTCTGACTTCTGTACGAGTTTGACTGCGTTATATATAGTAAAGTTTGCCCATGATAGACGGATGGTTCATCCAATCCTCTGCCATAACTTCCCAAATGATTCTGTGTAACAAACCACTCTGGGGCAGTCGGGTTGAAGAGGAACTGCAGATTTTGGTATTAATTCTCTTCAGGGTTTGTTACTACGAGTAAATCCTTTAACATTACACATGATCGAGAATAATGACAATAAAATGAAATAAATATAAACAAAGCAAACAAGAACAACTGGGAAAACAGATAACCTCAGTTTAAATATCTACGTATCGTCCCATCACTGATTTATAGCACTTTTGAGTCGTGGCTGTTTATACAAGCTCTGAGCCCAGTGGAGCTGAAATTATCGCCATCGTAAGTTCACTGCTGGTCATTACCATCTAAATCACTGGGATGATAACAGAACCCAGTTAAGAACAACACTGCTGCTTTACAAGCTTTTCATGTTTTATGTTTGAATCTTTATCGCCCGCCACCACAGTTGACAACCAGCTCCTCCTGATGCATTCCAGCCTGAGCTTCCTCCTTTCTTTCCTCCCTCTTTCCCATTAACGCAGCCTCTCTTCTTTAAGACCCCCGGCTCTCTGCGTTCCTTCTCCATTTCTTTCAGCCTCTCTTTATGCTTCTTTTTCGGTTTCTCTATTTAACTCATGAAAAGGCTTTTTTTTTTTTTTTTTTTTACATACTTTATCCTTTCAAGTTGCTTTTCAAAAATCCCTCGCTCTGTGTGAGAAGAGGGATCCCGACTAAATGGGTCACAGAGGGGTCCCTGAACTTCTCGCTTCTCGGGAAGAAACCCTGGACTTGGCCCAAGCCTTAAATCACCCCCCCAAATTTCCCTCTCAGGGTCTCTTCCCGCTGTCCCTCCCCTTCCTTCTTCTTGAGCCCATTTGTGGATTCTCCCCGCTGTGGATCCAGATGAGCAAAGCCTGTGCTCGTGCAAAGAATGAATGTAAGAAATGGACAGTGTGTTGGCATTTGAGGCCTCTTTCCTAAAAAAAAAAAAGCAAGCATAGAAGAGCAAGAGCCCCCCAAAATGAATCCAATCCTGAGTCCAAATCATTTATCATCCCACCTGCTTACATTATGGTATGACCACCTGAATCTGGCACTACTGCGGTTCTGTTGTTTACTGTTTGTTCCAGGGATCGCTCCGCGTTGAGCAACCCGGCTTTAATGCATGTGAGAACAATTAGGATACCCACATGTCATTTGCGCAATGATCAGTGAAGAACTCGCTGTCAGAGCTTTTATCATGTGGTCGCAAAAACGCTGAGATCAGAAATGTTTTAATTCTCCAGTCATGTCGCTGTGGTCGAATCGACTCAATAAAACGAGCTCCGATGGGAACGTGGGATTTCTGTGGGTGGGGATCTGTCCGTGCGCTGAGAATGTGAGGAAATACTTTGTTTTTGACAGCGTCAGGACAACGAAATTACTTGCAAATCTGTCTAATCAGGACCACATTGTCGGGGTCAGCCACGGCATGAACCTGAGAATGCTCTCAAGGCCGGAGTGTGCTCACTTCTGGGAGAGATATTTTCCGTAAGAGCAGAAATAGCTCGTGGCAGGAGGCTGCAGAAATGTCTGGACACCCTCAGAACGAGGATAAATTATTTACTTTTGCCTTATGAAAGTGGTGAAATGATGCCAGTTGGTAACCGTGACCCTTGTTCCTCATTTGCTTACCGTTTTTTTTTACATCTGCCCGCTTGCAGTAACGGCAGATTATTCATTGTGCTTGGCAGAAATGAAAGACTGGTGCTGAGTTGACCACATTACCACCATATTTGTCAAATTCCCTCCCCCCCCAAAAAGTTCCATGGGTTTGAGGAGAATTCACACAATTTCTGTCCTTAAAGGGAGGATTGTTTTGAACCCACTCAATTCCTGCTGTTTCACTGTTGCTTTTTACTGCACCAAAAGTTTGTTCTTATTAAGTTTATTTTATTTTCACACCTTCACTTGATCCTGATTCCCAGGTATGCGCTGACATTTGGTGCCAGTCTACCTACGAGTGTGGTTTACACAGACATCCACAGAGGGCTTTTTGTGTCCAGTGGTAGTCTTAATATCATCTTAATCAGCAGTTTCTAGTTGTTTTAACAATGGATGACCTCCATGATCAGCTCTGTCCTCTGCTCTCTGCAGGTCCTGGCACGAAGCGTCGGTTAACTTTGGCTCAGGTGGGCAGCGGAGACTCCCGGGCCAACTCTGGCTTCAATGTGTCCATTCACGCTGCCATTCGATCCTCAAACTGGAAGCTGCTGACGGGCTACCCAGGTCAGTATCTTCTGTCACCCATAATGACATGTTTAGTCTAAGTGGGGAGCGGAAAATCAAGCACACTTACGAACAGACATTCACTTCTTATCTCTGCTAATCACTGCTGGATGAAGTGTCCTTTTAGTTTAAGTAGAAGTACCAATAAATGCCACTTAAACAATGAGTTTTTAACTGGTGTCGGTTTAATACTGATGCCTCTATATGACCTGATCAGAGAGAAGATTGGTTATTTCTATATAGTTATTCTTAATATCTGCCACCGGGTTGGATTTGGTCTGATTCCTCTTGAAATCAATGAAAAAGGCAGTAGAAACAGTACCGCTTTTGTCCACAGGGGCCACCAAAATCAACACAAAATGAGAGTCTCTTGTTGCTGCTTTAAGTAAAAGTACAGAAGAGTAAAGTATCGAAAGTAAAAGTACTTGTTACATAGAACAAAGGCAGCTGTGACTCATATATTATTATATATGACAGTGTTTCTTAAATGTATTGTACCTCTTTTATAAAGATATTTTTATTCTACCAAACTGGTTTGAAGCTGGTCGGGGCTACTTGGCTGCAAACATATTTAAAAAGAGGGTATACACATAACATCAGATTGTTAATAATTGTGTATGAATGTATAAGCAGCATTTTATTTTTGTGGCTGCTTTGTTTAAAGGGGTTTTCCCCTCCAAAGGATTGTGAGATGACTAACGGAGCAGGAAAAATATGATTTATTTTGGACCAACAGAGAGGTTTAGAGGGGAAATATCTCTTTGGTGGAACTGCTAACAACTCAAAGAAATGTGACAAGGGGCCCCAACGAGACACTGCTTTTATTTGTCAGAGGTCAAAAGCCAAAAATGTTGGGATCCACTAGTTTGAATCTTTTAACAAATGTGTATTTTATTTTAGAAGCGTATTGTATATCTTTTTATTATTGTAGCGGAGTAAAAACTATTATACTTTTATTATTAGCATTTAAAGGAAATACTCAAGAAAAGCTCCTCAAAATGTACCTATGTCCTCCAGGTTGTGACGTTTGGTTCCCCCGGCCCGGCGACAACAGCTCGAGCCCCTCGGATGTGCCTCCGCTGAAGCAAGTGATGCTGTTTGACATAGAGAAAGATCCAGAGGAGAGGAATGAAGTATCCGCTCAGTACCCCACAGTGGTGGATTATCTCCTCAACAGGCTCTACCGCTACCAGAAGAGTGCCGTGCCAATAAATTTCCCTGCTGATGACCCCAGATGTGACCCAGGCCCCACTGGCGCCTGGGGACCCTGGGCTTAGATGACAATGACAACGCTTTGTTTACTGTGAAATGTGAAGTCTTGGAAACATTTTCTTACTCTAACTAAAAGATAATCATAATGTCAGATCGTCCGTACAACCAGGAGAGGAGTTCAGTCCCTAACTTGACTGCCAGATGCCGCCGTAATTATTGATCTGTGTCCAACGTCCGAGACGCTTTCAGAGCTTTATTTAAAGTGATTATGTAAAGATACACATGTTACTGATTTGTAAAGCGCATCTCCCCTGCTGTTTCAGGTATTTGTAATTTATTTATCTACTGTTGAGAAGCTGCAGGTTACTTGTAGCTGTCAAAACACTTGAGCTTTTTATGGATTATACAAGAAGAAAGGAAAGCATTTGAAGGTGTTGAGAGATATAAGATGCACGTTATGTTGATTTTTACCAAGATTTGGAGCTTTAAAACTGCACCAATCAATATTTTTATCTTGACGATGGATAAAATTACTACAAACCCACCTTTTTTTTCAGCCTCTTTCAGCTGAAGGTTTCACTGCTCTCGTCTGCGTCGTTTCCACCAGCAGCGGGAACTTGTTTTCAGTGAAAAAACTCACTAGTTTGTGAACATAGTGGAGCATTTAGCAACTTAAGAGCCAGATATTTCCCTGAGGGGTTAGTGGAGACCTGTAGTTACCTGATTTTAATCACCATTCAGCACCATGTTGTATCTTTTAAAGATATTTTCTGCTTTATTTTTTGTCAAACATGTTTTATTGAGGAAGGATTACAAGTTGTAGGACATGAGAATGAAGTACACATCAACATAACTTAAAATATAATAATCCCTTCTGATCAGTAGTAATATTAATGGTAGTGTTAGTAGTGTTTTCCAGAGGTTCAAACCAATGTTTAAAGGCCCAGTGTGTAACATTTAGGAGAATCTATTGGCAGAAATGGAATATAATATTCATAGGTATCTTTTTATTAGTGTAAAATCACCTGAATATAAGAATCGGCTCGGGAAAAGGGCTCAGAGAGCGAGCAATATTCAGTTGGTTGCACCGCTAGATGCCACTAAATCCTACAGACTGGTCCTTTAAATACAGGATTTCTACAGACTGCCACTCGGCTCTACTTAAATACAACTTAAATCTGCTGCACAGTCTGTGGACATTCATTAGATGTTTGAATATGTAACCAAGGGCTGGATAACAGGTGAAGATGTTTTCCCCCTAAGATTTCTGTTGGGAACTGTTTGTGACTGAATCGCAGAGTAACAGATGGAGTTGGTGGAGCAAATATTTGACTTCCATTCATTTGTTTGCCAGAAACGCGACTCCAAATGAATGCTAATGAGTGCTAATGTTGCTCTGTATCTTTTTCAGGTGATAATGTGCCAGTGTTGTGTTTACAGCTTGTTGCACTGACCCTAAATCACAAAAGAATTCATTGAACTGCACTCTTTTGTGTTTGTTTGTTTGTTTGAAATTAATTTTGCACACCACTATTTGTAAGTGCCTTCTGGAGTCTGTTGCCAGGTTTATTTGTTCTGGAAACAAATAAATAATAAATGAGAATTTAGCTAATTACAAGTGCTTTTTTGTATTTTTTTAGGTCACTTGTTTTCCGTCCAGTCGCTTTAAAGTTAATGAGTAGGTGCTAAATGGGTTAGATTTCTGTTTAGAGGTTGAAAATGTGAAGAATTTCTTGTGCTCTTCAGGTATCCTTTATATTATGACTTCAGCAACAACCTCCCACATGCCAGTCGTTCATGAGTGTGCTCTCTGAGGTCATTTAGAGATACAGTGATATATCTTCAGTGTTTACTAAAGCGTAAAAATCAGACGGGATATTTTGCATATTTGGAATCTAAGCGGCAGAAACTAATTTCCTTAATACATACACCCTGTTTGACCTTTGGCCCCTTGGTGATTGACCTCCCATTGGCAGCAGCGTGCAGACTACCACAGGAAATGCTCCCTGCAGAGAGTGGGCGGCCCTGTCCTAATGTGGGCTGTGACCCTTAACCTGCCATGTGAACTGATTGGCAGCTGAGCAAAGCAAACAACAATGCTGGTTACTGTGGAGAACAGTAGCGGGTTATAGTTGTTGTCACTGACTCTAGTTCAATCGGCTAATTTATAGTCAAAGCTGTGGAGTCTACCAGTATAGAAAGAGGTGGACATTTAGGAAAATATGCTTATTTGGTGTCTTGCCGAGCGATAGATGAGAAAATCGATACCGCTCTCATCTTGAGGTCTCAGTTATTATTCTTATTCCTGAAGCAAAAACCAAACACTAGCTCTGTATAGGACCTTTTTAAGAGAGTTCTGCAGCTTCTGTAGTTTCTCTTTTGTGGTTGGAGGGGGAGGGTGAGGCAAGGGGGTTGCAATCTGCAACTTCACCGCTAGATGCCACTAAATCTTACACATTTCAATCAGTTAAAACACTTAATTACCATGTTAATTAGTTGGCTTTTGATACAGAACCAAGCGAGCTGTTTCCAGTCTTTATGCTAAGCTAACTTCATATTCTCCGGACCGGTCTAAATCTCCTCAAAAACCAAATTAATGTCGAACTATTTCTTTTATGGTTGTTTGGAAACTACGTAAACTCTTCCCAGCGTAGTGGTCCACTTCCTACCCTTTTCCAGAGCTTTCAACCGTATCACTTGGTCTTCTTCAACAGATTGAGTCGACTCAGAGTTGGATATGATGACACGTGAGCTCAGTAGCTGTTAATTATTTAATCCGTAACACTTCTTACGACTTCTGATCCTAAAAGTCTCGACAGCCACCGAACAAACTCAAAAAAAAAGCTCAGTAAGTGGACCTTGAGTCGTCGATTGTTTTGTCCCAGAATGAACTTTGATGCTTAATTAATGAGTGTCTGTTGAGATTTTAGGCCGCGTTTAACTGAATTATTTAGCGACAGTCCACCCCCCCATATGGCCTGCCCAAGGCGACTGTGTAATGCCACTGACATACTCAAATTTTAAAACCCTAATCTACTTTTTTTTGTAAATTATTTGTGTATTTTCTTGAAGGTTTCTAATTTTGAGAAAGTGACTGTATGAACTCAAGTTTACTTTTAAAAATAGACCACTATTTACCAAAGTGGCTGTTAAATGGAATTTAAACTGGGATTTTGTGTAATGGGCGACTACCACATGATTATTTGATGTGTCTGAGAAAGCACTTGCTGACATTGCCGAGGCTATAAATTTGTCACTCTGTCGTTCTGTTAGTTTACTCTACAATCAAAACTCTGCATTTCAGCTTGATGGGATAGTTCATTTAATTAGATGTTGCCAATGCTCGCCATCCATCTAAAACCCCCAATGCCTTGCGAGTTTTCTCAGACCGCTTTTGCACTTCTCATACCCGTTTGTGGTTGAACTGACAAGTTATTCCATCTTCTCCCCTCCCCTCTTGTCATTAAGAGCAGCCAACCTCGACGGTGTCACAAGCTCATCTCCTCCTGCTCATGCTTCTCAAAGTGGTTTTGGTGTGTCTTTCACACTTAATCCTGCACTTTGACTCGGGGCCCCTGTGAAGTGACAAACACACTCTCCTCTCCTGAATCAAACACCCATGATTCGCCGGCCTCTGACGTCGCCTGAACTCCCCCTTTTTTTTTTTTTTTTTTACGTTTTGTTTTTTCAGCTGTGACAAAAGCTATGTGTGAGCCTCCAGGGCGATGCCTCCTGGATAGATATGACAGTGTGGAGATATGATATCCAGCGATGGTGAGCACATGTGGGACACGAGAAAAGAAACGTCTGCCACCCTTGATGCCCCACTCTGGTATGTCGACGAGGAGACACTGAAGGTCTCGCAGTGAAGTGGGGACTGGAATTCCAAACAAGATTGTGTCTGTCTGTGCTGCCTGCCTGTGAAAACAGATTAAAATCATACTGACCAGTGCAGCCAGGAATGTGTTGAACCTTGAGCCTCGAAGGGGGGAAATCCGACAGCTCATCACACCTCACAAAAAAACAAAAAAAAAGAAAGAAAGAAAGAAACCCCCCCCTCCTCCCAACAGTCCCTCACAGTGTAGGCAGACCACCACGGAGCAGGGGCTGATAAAAGGAGGCGTTATTAGACTGGACCCTTAAATTGTTATGCTAATAACAAAATAATGCTTTTTTAAAATGTCTTTCATATAACAGAACTTATCTAAATCGTATAATCACATTTAAGAGTAATTACAGGGCAGAAAAGCTTTAGAAGATAAGAGTTAATTCCTCCTTGGTTTTAAGTTACGGTTAAAGGTCTTTGGCAGGGCGTGCTCTCACTATACAGCCCTTATCTCAGTGGGTTTTTAAAACTTTTTCATGTCAAGCGCCACTAAACTGACTCAAATTAGACCACAAACCCCCATTTTTTAATAAGATTTTGTCCCAGGGTCCCTCATCTGATAGGAATTTTACTGCAGAAAGTGTATAAAACCCAGGACTTGCTTCCTCTACAGATAAAAACAGCTCATTCTAAGGTAACAAAAACACAACAAGTCTTATTTCCAGGTGATTATACACTAATGAAAACATACGTATGAATATTATATTAAATTACTGCCAATAGTTCCTCCTAAATGTTACACACTGGACCTTTAATATGTGCAAAAACCAAAGTGTATAAAATTACATGATACAGTTTTATGTGTGTCAGACTACTTGTTCTTTTTAAAGCCACAAGTGGATATTTTTTTACACTTTATTGTACAGATTAAAGCACCTACAAGGAACTTTAATTTTGTGTTGATTCTGGCGACCCCTTTGGACATAAATGGAAGTGTTTCCACCCCAAAACCGAATTTTAAACACTGGTTTCAAACCCCTGGACAAACATATGATCATTTAATTCAGAAAGCATGAATCTATAAAATAAAAGCAATGTATTCAAAAGTACAACATGCTGCTAGATCACAATTAAAATAAATATAAATACCTGTAAAGTATTCAGATGTCAGACAGTGAAGCTAACACTGCAGCTCAAATTGCATTTATTGGAGGAATCGGTGTATTATTGGAGTATTTCTACTGCAGATTATTGCTTTCATTCTGACTGAAAGTCAAAGTGAAAGTCAGTGAGAGTCCCAGCGATCCCAGAGAGTTGATGGATAACATCAGGGCTGTTATTATTGACAATAAACTGCAGGGCTGTTTAGCCAGAAACTCCCGGACCGAGTCATGAGACTTCCCTTGTGTTTTCACTCCATTCAAGTCTCATTTGACTGACCGAGGAGCACAAATAAGAGGGCACTGAGGTCCTGGCACCAGTTGTTCTACTCCTAGTCACAACAGTCTCAAAATAGTCCATTCATGCTCGTTCGCTGTCGTGCAAAGCGCGCTTGAATGTACAAAAGTTGTTGTCTTGCACCGTTCCTGTTCTTCAGACGGGCCAATCCTCAACACCGCCTTCCTATGAGCAGGCGCCGTATTATTTCTACTGAATTTGGCACCGATAAGAAAAAAAAGAATGGAGACTGGGGAATGGGAGATGGTGCACGCATGGACACATGTCTGGAAATAATGCTAAGTGTGGCTGTGCAGCATATAGACTGACATGCCTTCAGTATGTGAGCCATCTGCATTGGCTGTTGACTGTCAGCTGTTAGCCTCTCGGGAAAGGTTAAGGACACGGATTTAGAGAGAATGTAACATGTAGACTATTCAAATGTTCATGTAATACTGCGCCAATAGCTTGTCTTTACAGAGTGAGCGCAATCAGAGACAACAACTGCGTTACATATCGAATGACTTCTTGATTTTCACTGCATTTGGACCGGTTTCCAGACAGCTGTTGGTTGGTTTATAAAAAGTGTAAAATGCTCATTGTAATCTCCTAAAGGCGATGTCTTCAGCTAATTGTCAAAAACCCAAACTGAATATTATAGAAGACAAAGAAAACATACGTATACTTGTCAGCTAGCTTCAACCCTAACCCTCTTTATTAGAGAACAAAACACAGGCTACTGTGGGTTCATAGCCAGTGTCAACTGTCAACGGTGTGCAACAGGCACTAGCATCTCAGTCCATCAACTCCCGCTCGTAGCACAACACGCACCACAAAACTAGCAGGAACAACAACAACAACAACAACAACTCACAGGTACGAAAGTGAAATGACTGACAGGCCTCTAAGCATACGATAAACAGACCTTTATGCCTTAGCTGAACAATAACCAGTGACATTATAACATAATAGTTAACACCAACGTGTCACCCACTACAGTTCTCGTGTTTGTCACTTTTGGTTGATACCCAGAATGACGGACTGCAGTTCACTTAACGGCCACTGGTGTCGCTGTTAACAACGGTTTAATGAAAGTTACAAATAAAACCTTTAATTTGAGGAATATTGTTTTTTGATTTTGATTTCCTTGTTTCAGCTGCAAATGGACAACATATCGTCCAACAACACAGTCAGTCACAGAGTATACAATCACTTATCTATCAGAGATTTTACGTAAGTAAAAGTAATAACGTTAATTTAAGTAAAATGCTGTAATTTAAATTAACTTTGCGGCCAAAATGGGCTCTTTTGTTGTTAAATGAATACGTGTTAATGGTATTCGATTATTATTATTA